CCGAATAAGAGCTAGACTTTCTAACCACTAGATCACACGATAACAAATATTATTTGAACAAATTTCTCTTTAAATTTTAATTTTTATGATGAAATTAAATCAAATTAATAAATATAATTAATACGATTTGTTGAAATGTGCTCTGTCGCTCACGGTTACAAGTTGTTGTCATTTTTTAATGATATAAATGAGTTATATTCGTGTTGTATAAATTAAAAATAATAAACAACGTGACTAGGTTTCGAATACACGCCCGGTATTATTTCCAAGACTTTTCACACGCATCTTGACTTTCTCTTGAATGTAGTGATCACATTAACTATAAAGATGACCAAAATACGGCACATAGAACTTTTGTAGGCGTCGGTTTTCCAATTTTCGCAAATTGTTCGTAGTTTCATTAAGAATTTGATAACTGGACTTCTTCTTTTAGTGTTGCAGTAACGTCATAACATTCTTATCGGAACTATGGAAACAAGTTATCGATCAAAATGCCATATGTTTGATTTAAAAACGTTCATTTAAAATATAGCAGCGCCACAAAACTATATTTGGTCGCGAAGGCTGTAAAAATTTCATCCTCCTAACTTTTATAATTTCCGAATAACGAGTAAAAATCTTAAAATTTTTGTTAAAAAAAAAACGATGTACAGAAGTAAGCGAACTAAATTTTCTAGTTCTATAATATAGAACGGACGTGACTAATTTTCTCTATTTTCAAAATAAAAGTTTTTGTCGCATAGGTGTGTGGGCAAATTGTTTACCACATTTGGTTAAAACGTTTAGAACGCCCAGAAGGAAGCATCAGAGATACCCCAAAGTATATATATTCTTGATTACAATCAAATTCTAAATCGATTTAAGTATGTCCGTCTGTCCGTCTGTCCGTCTGTCCGTCTGTCCATCTGCCCATCTGTGTAATGTCCGTTGTAAACATTCTCCTGCCGCAAAATAGGAGCTATTGACTTCGAATTTGGCAGAAACATTGGAAATTCTTGCACGCAAGTTGGTATTGAAAACGGGCCGAATCGGTCAAAGGACATATCCACAGCAGCATATCAAACGGAGAAGACCTCTGTATCTCCAAAAAAAAAAAAAAAAAAAATTGGTTTTTTGATTATTACGTACAAGTGTACAAAAAATTGAATGCATATGGCCGATCCTGTACAAAAGTGGAAAAAATTGACCACGCCTTCTAAATATATAAGAGAGAGTATTAAAATTTATTCATTTTTCAATACTTTTGTAAGACGCAGAAACAATCTTCAAAAACCCCATAAGGTACACAAATTCTTGGCCAAAATTGGAATAGACCGGAACATGCCCGTCTGTTAGTCTGTCCATCTGTCTGCCTGCGCAACTGTGTAGTATTTGTGGTAAACATTCTCCCGTTAGCGAAAAGGACGATATCACCTATAAGTTTGCAAATGTATTTGGAAGTGACTTAAACTTTTCCAAAGACAGGCCTACTATGCGCATGCCCGCATACCTATGCGGTAAAAACATTTATTTTGAAAATAGAAAAAACAAGATGCTACCAATCTATATTATAGAGCATGGAGTTTTCTTTCTTTACTTCTTTTACTTTTAGTGTCTATTTCAGGATAACGACGTTGGGTATAAAAAATTCACAGGCTCTCGACCGAATATAAATTGTTCTAGAATAAAAGATCAGATGTTTAATATAATAAATAAAACATATTACAAAAAAGTATCACTCTCCAATACAATGTAAGGGTGGATATATATATTCAATTTAGCCGCACACACGTACATTGCACCCTTTAACAAACATACGTTATTAGGCAAGAGGTATATTTCCTACGATTAACATAAATAACGTACGTATCTTTAAGCCAAAACATATATTGGTAGATATTTGAAACAAACATATAACGTAAAATTAAACTCAAGCATTTCGATCGCTTTCGCTGAACAATCTTCGGAGTAAGAAGAAACGATCGCGAAAAATAACGAAATACCTGAATAAACGAGATCCCAGCAAAATAGTTGATTAAGTATATATCCTTGAATGATGAAATAATTAATGTATAGAATATCGCGATTATTCTCACGGACACGGACGCTGTTTAAGATAAATTCGAAGTAAAATAAGGAGCTATTTAGTTAATAAAGTTTATTTAAAGTTTATTTAAAAACAAGTATTTTTCTTATTAATTCTTAGACCTACAGGTCTGATAATATAATAATTCGGACAGTAGTGAAGATACTATTTTTTGCATTTACTCAACGTAATAATCATAATTTTGCATCTGTTTAAGACTTTAATCCAAGCATAACATTAATTCGCTGTCGTTTATATCTCATATGTACGATTATGACGATTATGAATTCATTTAGATCATTAAAGAATAATAACCAACCGAATCGCATAGTTATGTATTAAATCTCATGACCATGTGTGCCATGTCTTTAAATCGCCAGCCAGTCAATATTATTTTAGTTAACTTCGCTGTCGTCTTATATTCAGGAGATGACCTACTTAGCCATTAAACTTATTTCTAACCCGACATCATATTTCTTCGGGCTAAACCTTGGAAAATGATTCTTCTATCTTTTTAATAAAGTTTAGTGGTACACGATAAATTAATTTGTTACATGTTTGTTCAATTGTTGTGTTTCACTTTACTTGCTGCCTACTGATCTTTTGACTATTGCTTATGGGTAAACTTGTCTTATGTTAGTCTATTTAAAAAATCGAGGTTAATGTATAGTGTAGGTTATTGCTTGCAGTTACAGTTGTGCTAAACTAGGTTATTATAATTGGGTTACAGTGTTGTAATATGCAAAGCTTGCATAAATTAAATTAAATTGCAATAAGTGAAATAAAATAAAATACATCAAAGCAATAATGTTGGCAGTACAAAAGGCCAACATCTCACGATGTCATCGCTTCGACGGATAAAATCGGAAAATAGCAGAGCCCTTGGAACTCCGCTAGCCAAGGGCAGAAGAAGGAAATGATCATAGACTAATTTTATCGATATCTCTTCTTCACCACAGTCGGCATGCCAAAATTTATCGAGTAAAAAAAGGCATACTTGATCACATCGTTACAAGCTTGCAACGTACAGCCAGTCGAATGGTAATTTGATCTTACTTGCAGATAAACTTACGCAAACTTCTAGATACGTATAACTGCTGAAAGCAAACTTAAATGTACGTATGGAATCAAAATGGAGAACGATTCTTGTCCTCACATCCATGTAATATAATTACATAAACGCTTTGATAAAATCTATTTTTGGCGGAGACAGACTGATTGTCTGACAGGCAAACTAAAACGAAGAAAAATTAACGAAGAGAAGACCAAAGGCAAACAAATACACTTAAATCAATCAAAAACATTAAACTGCTCGGGAATAGAACTTAGACACAGAAATCTCTATTGCTATATCTATATTCAAATCTGACTGAACCTGCGAAGATTTAGTAGATCTCAGGTGAACAATCGCTTCCTAAATGTTTTTCCCCGCACCCGTCTAGTGTATTTGACTTTATTGGTTCAATGGTTCAGTGCCCAACAATCTATGACATTATAGTGTCCAAAACTCGTTTCGATACAGTTTTTATGAAATTGCAAACAATTCTTCAATACCTTTAGTGCACTTAATCTCTATTATTGTCAAGTACTTAGTTCAATAACGAAACTAACAGAGAAACATGGAAACCGCTTAACTTTTTCTTTTTATTTTTTTATTATCTTTATACGTCTTAAAGAGTACAGATGGTAGTTATTTAGTAGAAAGCCTTAAATTGTACTTTCCATGTTCATGTAATGGCCGATATATTACTTTTTAACCGATTTTTGTAAAAAGGAAAATTTCTTCCTATGGCAACCTTTTCATAATACGTTATCATAAATGACGTGATCGTAAAAATGAAACGATCTAAATCGATTCAGAAATGATGTTGTATCGTCAGTCTGCTCACTTTTTCTCGAAGTGCTAAACTTATTGTACATCGCAATGATTTTTAGTTCTAAGCAGACAGATATACATAGAATTGCAAAAGCTTTTGCGAAAGTACATTTTTTACATGAGGATATCGGAATGACTTTAATGGCAGACTTGTAATAGGAATCCTTACTAAAACTAAGCAATATTGGTTGCGACATAGGGTTGGTTGCGGTAAAGGCTAGAGAGGACCTCTGCAGAGCGACGATACTTCAGGTAAATGCTTTATGCTTACATTAAACTTTTTAACGGTATGCGTCAAACTCCGCAATCAAAGTCACGCTATTCGCATTAATTTGTTCTTTTTGCATAAAACCAAAGTCTTTCAAAGTGCGCGACAATCGTAAATGCTTATGCGGACGCATTAAGCTTCTTTTTTTTTTTTTTTTTTTTTTCTTAATCAATCCAATTATGCTTATATTTTGAGAGTTTTTTGTATTCATTTAGTTCCTATATTTAATCATTTTCTATAATGCACTTCCAACCAATTATCAATCAAAATCGTTTGCAAAGTTGAAAGGTACATAAAGACGTGTATGAATCTGTGCTATTTCGCTTCAAGTTGATTAAACGCAATTGTCATAATCAATTGGCTAGTTTGTACCAGAACCTTCAATGAAAGCTTTTCAAAGTGCAACTATTATTAACGGCAAGCTATCTCTTCGCTCTAAAAACTTTAATTTTAAAGTTTCGGCCTTCACAACTTATTTGAAAATTAAAAGCTTTGCGAAATTTTTTACTGAACATTCACTCACAAAAAGCTATTTACACACTTTTATGTTAGATTTTATACGCATGCATAAACACATGCAAACAGTTATACTTATATCTACATATACATATATATATATATATATATATATATATATATCATTATCATTACGACAGATTACTATGGTAACGCAAAATTTGATTACTACAATTTTTTTTCCAAATTTTTCTATGATTAAAATCAACTTTTTTTCATTCATTTTTTATATATATTTCTGAACGAATCATACAGAATTTCATTGGCTATTGCAGGATGTCATTGACGGAGAAGAATTCGTTTTGGACTAATGTTGTCTCGAATATAGAACGTGAAGCTTATGAGAGGACACTCACCGAACGTATCAAGAATTATGATTTTTCATTGACTCTGCCAGTTACGCTACGTAACCGCGTGGCCAAGATATTGCAATACGAATATGATGAGTTTGATCGTAACGTTTTCATAGCAGAATCATCGGTTGACACACCCATATCATTTGGTGAAGATGAGGTGGAGCCGGACGATGGCATCAAAAAGAAAAAGGTATTTCTTCTTATTTAATATAAAATAATACGATTTCTCCAAGATGATCTGATTTCAATTGTTAAACAGACGGTTGATCTTTTTAATGAAAGTACATGCTCCGAAATTGAACGCATGGAACATGAATTTCTTGTATTCGATTTGGTTATGGACAAACCGTTAGAACATAAGGCCAAACAAAAGAGGAAGAAAAACTGGTGTTCTATGTACATTTGCAAGCCCCGCAAAGAACGTGTCAGATGGGACTCAAAAATTTATGAACTCGAAGGCACTGTTTGGGAAAAAACTCTAGATGAGCAAGCTGAACAATTGATGGATGCTGTAAGTTATATATTGATGTATATATTTATAACAATAATAGTAGCTAATTAGTCTATCTTATATCGTTCTATAGTCGGCTGAGCGTTTTACCGAATGGTTGAATTCCCTTGGCAGCAGCAATCAATCGGATATAACCAAAGAGAAGTTAAAATCTTTCTTTTCAATTGAAGGCGACCGTAAGCTATTGGCTTCGATTATAACGGAACCAAAGGAAGTGAAAGCTATCGCCAAAACCGTCGCCGATAAATGGAATCTCCCCGAGGTTAACAGCCATTACAGCATTCCTCCTTTTTTTCTTGTAATTTGTGCATTTTTCATATTCAGATGGCATTAGAACTGAAATATGAGAAGTATATAAAAGATCGTTTGCAGAAAGTCCCAAGAACTATAATTAAGGTGGCGTTCGGTCGAACCGTGCCGATGAAGGATCGTCCATGGTTGCCGTCTGAAAATGATACACTAATTCATACCGCTTATCCGCAAGAGTTGTTGACTTTCGAAAAGCTCTTTAAAGGTATCACGCACTTGCGCTCCACTCGGGCCCTTATCGATTTCTACAAAAAGACTCCTATACTCGAGAAGCCACAGTTTCTAGTAGCAAATGGACATTTTAAAGATAAAGAGGAAGCGGCCGCTAGGGGCGAAGTACCGCTTTATGAGCGTTTGAAATTAAAGTATTAAGAGTCGTTTCATTAATTTTCGCAAATTTGCGTGTGGATGTTATATATACCCTATGTCTTTCAAAAATTATTTCAGAAGATATATAAAAAAATTTTTTTCTTTTTTTTTTTAGAGATTCAAATAAAATTTTCGTTTAAGCAAACAAAAAAGAATGTAAATGTTAATAGAAAGGGGCGGATGAGAAAAATTGGAGCACTAGCTGGAATAAAAATCATTTTCAGTGAAAGTGGAGAACAGCCACAGCTACTGCCACAATAGAAAAGGCATTGAAACCAACGCGTTTGCGCTGATGAGCGTTTTTTATAAGCACTTTTCAAAATCGTGTCGGCCCAGTCCCATCGCATTTTCTTTCAATAGATCACCTTGGGCAAAACTGGGCTGTTTTAATTTGAAAGGGCTCCTATCTTCTACTTTATAGCTCCCTGATATAAAAAAGTGTTTCCAAGAATTTTTTTATAAAAATTATTTTACACCTTTGAGGCTTAATTACAATTCGTGTTCTACTCTCCAAGCCGTTTTATATGAGACCCAATTCGACCGGTTGATTTTCCACGTCGCGACGTCCGTCAAATATAATGCAGAATTGTCACAATTAACTTACCGCCTTCTATCGTCCAAATTTTGTTGTTTCACGCCCATATCGATAGGGTTGTTAATAAAAAATGAACCAATTATATGGCAACATCTGCCATATGTAATTTAGAGTTAACATTGAAAATTTAGCATCTTGCAAGCGACTTTATTTGACAACCAGACTTAAGGGATTTTTTAGAAAGAGATAATGCCAACACTGTAGCGGTCACTATTTTGAATATACAGACTGTATAATGTTGCATCATCATTGTAGCTCAGGATGTGCGCAAAATTTCAGCATGATCAGAAGATCGTTCTCGAAGTTCTCGAAATACCGACGAGCAACTTCTTATTGATTTTCCTTGTGGCGGATGACGTTTGTTTATAGATAACAATTTTCTTTCGTGGCTAAGCAGGTATGCAAAACTTCCGCGGAGTACGACATATGGAGATATTTCTGTTAAAAAAGCAAGTTAAGTAAAGACTTGTGGGAAATGGGTGTTTTCAAAACAATAAACGTTACCGCAATACCTTTGCTATGACACACGTTAATCGAAATATTTTGAAGGAACCAATTATTTTAAGCTTTTTTTCTAAACTTAAGCGCAAACCCGGTGTTCAGTTACTACACCGCACTTCTTAAGTGCTAGATATCAATGACACATCCAGACTTTTAATAGAGCAATGTTATTATTACCCTTTCTCGACGTCTTCAGCTGTTTCACTCAAACGAATTTTCATTGGATGCTGAGAGCTGAAATCCTTTTTATGTTTCCATTTAAACTGCTTTCTTTTTTGCCTTAGCATGGTCGATATTTCGGTCTTTTTCATACATTTTATTTAGTTATTTTTGTATTTACACATAAAACTCAGCTAAAACAAAATTAACAAACGAATTCAATCGAGTCTTAAAAGTAAATCTACCGCTAATTATTATTAACAGCTAGTATAAGGTATGTAAGGAAAAGTAAGGAAAAAAAAATGAAACAATAATTCATGTGGAAATAAATAAGAAATAAAAAACGAAAAGAAAGAAAAAGGATGTACACAACTAGCATAGAGACAAACCCACAACCGGTACAGATCCAATTACAAGTGCCATTGCAAACATGCACAAGCAGTTAATTTTCCAATCATAGTGAGATGTTAAGATTGCAAGTTACTTTAATTACGACATAGGTAAATCGCGGGTATTGAGCATAGTTGGTTTAGTAGACTTTAAAGAGCCCGTGTATTGAGATTAAGTGATAGACATTATTTGGGTTTCTGTAAACAACTCTGAACGGATTAAACAGCTCATTATTATATATACATTGACTAAGTTTCATGAAAATAGAGTACGACTAGAACCGATTGGGGACATTAACACTTATATCACAAAGTAATTAACTTAAGTAATTAACTTAATTAAGAAGGAAACACCAAGAATAAGTGTACGTTTCTCAAGTAACGTTAAGAATAAGAGCTTATCCATTTCGCTAAATACAAACGGAAGCCAGTCGCCTGAAGTTTAAAGATCAATAAATTAAAGTTAACTAAGTCAAACGATTCAAATGAACAGGACGGGACTATAGAAGATATGGCAATTAAGACACCACACCCATTGCGATCCTGGAAAGAATTGTGAAACAGTTTCGATGGGTGTAATCGGGCTATAGCCAGGTTTCAGTGAAAGCCAAACAATACAATATACAATGCATGGTGAATTTTTGTTGACCTCAAACACAAGGGTTTGAAGAATATAATGCAATAAGGTAAGTATCACTATGCAACAAACTTCAAAAGGGATCGAATCAAAAACATAGATAGATAGACAGATAATTCTTACAACGGATCGGCAAGAAGACCAACGAAAATAATTCATATAATTGTACAAATCAACAGCAATTGCAACAGTTACTATTATTGATAATCCCGACAAGGAAATTAGCAGTTAAGATCACACAACGCGAAAAAATGCTGTAGAATACCCAAATAGGCTGATTTCGGCATTACGAACTTGAAAGCACATGAGTCGGTTATCTTACAGGTAATATACCGGAGAAAGTCCACCTTACATGAAAGAGAAACAATTGAGAAATCAAGTTCGGAAACAAGTGCGGAACCTACACGCATAGAGATTGTCAATTTTGGGCTATATTTATTTCAAGTGATCAAATGGCTACCACTGCGTGTTCAATATGGATTAAAAGAATTGAGAGTTTAGATGATAACATCATACGTGGCTGAGCCAAAAGAAGTGTACAAGTCTTATGAAAATCGTTGATAGTGTCAATGAATTTCGATGGCGATGAAGAAGATCGATCAGAGAAGTAGATTTTGGTATTTTTGCCGTGATTTTCCTACTCCACAACTGAGTATCATCGTCAGCCATAAGTGATAACAGATTTGCTAGAACTACAGACTTATCCATAAACGATTAAAAATTCTGAAAAATGTTAATAGGGGCGCCTGCAATTTTAGAACTTTGGGAATATACGTATAGATTAATTTATATTCTTTGAGCAGAGGATGGGGTAATGCACGTTAGCTGTACGCTTTATGTGGTCTTCCTCGAAATACAAAGTGTGGTGATATTAGGGAAAGTCAAACTAACTTGAAGAAAATGAAAGTAGAAAATCATAAAAGGTAAAAGATTCACTTGTGAATATATGTGAGATTGGGAGAAAGCAATGGCAGTCACGAAAAACTTAAAATTGCCTTCGAAAGGAGCAGCGAGATATGCTAGTGACCAGACCAGAACAATAGATCTAAAATCTGAGAGGAAAATATAATGATTGATCAGCAGGCATGCCCATATTTATAAAAAAAAAATTTATGATTTGTCTATTTTCTTAAATTATCGCCTGGATATTGTAGAGTTTTTACTTTAGAGCTTTAGACCGTATGTTAGACTTTCCATTAATAAAACTTTAGAGCTAAGCCCGAAATACAGCTAAATTGGCTAAGGGTTTAATCTAATATTTAAATAAAGCAAAATATGAAAACATTATCTAAAGTCCCAGAAAAAATCGTATTAGTATTGCTAGTGATGACAGATAAAAATTAAGAAAAATAAGCATAAGGCCAACATATAATGTACGCCAGCATTCAACTACAACAAGTGAGGAACACCGAGTAAGAGGAAATATTTTGAATCAATTTGCACATATTGCACAGTTGTAACATCGAAAATGCAACAGTTACTTATGCAATCCAATTAGCGGACAAAAGAGACAGATCAAGTAAGTGGTAATGATCGTTGAACGTATTACAGTTGAACCCGAAACGGATTGAACAACTCAAAACTGGCTCGGCATTGCAGTAGCTGCAACAGCACAAAATGTCTTGAGGCCCTACTGGCCGTGTGAATGTTAAAAAGTTCTAATGAAGCCAGCGAAAAAACATTTCCTTTTATTAGCTTAAAGGCGAAGGCTATATTCAAAATTTCACGCCTTTTTTCAAGGATAGGCAAATCATCGAGATTCAATCTATTACAATACGGTGGAGAAGACAGGGCAGTGTTCCATCCCAAACCACACAAAGCAACCATGAAGAAGTCGCATTGAACCGACTCTAAGAGATCAAGGTGGCATCTCTAAGTAGGGAGCCAAGCAACCGGCAAGTATTCAAGAGTTGCTTTAACTAAAGATGTACACAAGAACTTGGTAATATAAGGGTCATTGAATCGTTTAGACCATCTTTATTAAATCATAAACGGGGTCTAGCTTTATTAACCGAAATTTCTATATGAACATCAATCTTGAGCTTTGGATCGAAAGCCGCTCCTAAGTCTCTACAACTGCAGGCATTTTCCAGGATGTTATTGTTAACACGTTAATAACAGGTCAACGTATTGCCCCACACGAAAAACATCTCCTACTTCTTCTTTAAATCAGCGCCTTACCATTGATTGCACACCATAAAAACAGGTTCCCAAGACCAGACTGAAGAAGTTTAGTACCATGTATTGAGTCGAAGCAGAGCGAAATCTCAAACGTTGTCTGTAAACATTAAAACACGGGAATGTATAATACACTCAGGAATGTCATTCACATATAAAAGAAATATAAGCGGGCCAAGATGAGTGCCCTGAGGGACACCAAAAGTAATGACAATTACTCTGGATTGACAAGAAGACATCAGCACCCGTTGGGTGAGCCCAAAGGCGATGTAGTTTATAGGTTAACAGCCTATGATCAACTCTGTCGAAAGCTTTGGAAAACTCCGTAGAGATAACATCAGTTTGATTGTGATCGGAAAATGCTTTGCAGATTGGACTACTACACTCCAAATGATTAGTGGCAGTTACTATACCTTTTAAACACCCATGCTGACAGTGCGATATAATTGACCCTAAAAGCAGAGTAAGCCTTTTTGTTACTAGTGATTTAAATAGTTTGGACACAGGACGAAGTGTGGCAATTCCCCTAAAATTCTGAATAATA